ACCATTTGAGTGGCTCTACAAGGTCAAAACTGTTTTCAAAATGATTTTAGGAAGTAATTTGCCTTTTTCAGGGCAACTCATTCCTCTAAGTCCTGAGACACAGTCTGTTGGTGCAGACTCCACATTAAAGCCAACATATAACAAACAGCACTACAGCTGAGGTTAGTGCAAAGTCGGAGAAGAACTTACAAGATTATTTGAAAAGGCAATAAAACATTCTTCCCATTTCCAAATAGTTAATCACTATAGGGTTTGGTTTTCTGCATCAGCCTAAACAACACAGGTAACGGGCTGAATACAGAAACATGAAAATCCAGCCATGTTATATTAAGAGATTTGTAAACTTACCAAACTAACCAAACATGGTTATTTTTTTATACAGGTCAACACAGACAATAGGTTTATTAGTTCATTTCTTATTTTCTCAGTTTTAGTTTCCTTCCTCCATTCTCTCTGTTTCTCCCTCTGCCAGAGGTATACAAGATCTTTCTATGAAGCCCAAACTTCATATTTTCAACCCTCCTGCCTTAGCATCCTCAGTGCTGATGTTACAATAAATACAGCAAATGATGACAGACAGAATTGACTTAAAGTTCTTTATGGCCTTCAAGTATCATTTTGTGTATAAAGGCATCCTGAGACAAAAATACCCGAGGACCACTGAACAAACTTCAATATGTTAATGACAATGTGAAGGATATTTCAAAGATTAGATTTTAATTCAGTATATTAAGTTCATTAATACTATTTTACTAAAATATAATAATTTATTAGGTTTTAAAGCTTATCCTAATATTGATCCATTTAATGAATATTTTATAAGCTTGTGCCACTTAAAATCCACTTCAATGTCACATCTGTGTGTCATGGTTCAGTGTTGGGCAACTCAAGACCAACTGGTTGTCTGCATATTATGGAATTACTGGGCCAACTCTGATCAAACCTGTGGATGAGTGTTGACTTAGGTTACTTGTCTGAATGTAACATGGAATAATATAAATATGTTTTAATTTTAGTTTGTGCTATGAAGAAAGTAAATGTTTATATGTTCTTTGTCTTATCTTAAAAGACCTGGATATCTCTAGGAAAAGCCAGCATGGAGATCTTGACTGTACCTCTTTCTGACATGAGGATTTAGTGTGGCATCTCCATAGCTTATCTATAGACTCCATACTGCCTGCCAAAATACATGGTGAAGCCAGTGAAGACAGGGTTGGAAGTTCCAACTTCCTATCCCTAAGTATAAGGAACACAATCTATTGACTCTTTGAGTTAGTAACTAAAAACTGAGCGTGGAGAGCAGTGTGCTTAGAGGCTCAACACAGGCTAACCTTCCATCTTGTGCCTTGTAGCACAGGGCACTCTGTTCTCGGCTCCTGGGTTGGGAAGGAAAGCAACTGCAGTTAGGAAGCAACCCTCTCACCAGCCTTTGGGGTATCCTATGGTCATGTGCACTTCCTATCTTTTCCTTCAGGCTTTTGCAGTAGCACAGGCCAGCTGAAGAATGTTGTCTGTGAACTTTATAAAGACAATGTTCACAATTTTTATGGAATGGAATATTTTGGAGACTCCTAATTGTATTAAAGGCAAGAGCAGTTTGCTGAACTAATGCCCAGAGGAATAAATAAAATTATGTATGTAATGTTTAGCCATTAAATCAGTTGGGCAATTGGCAACGAAATAAAATATTATAAGGAGGAAAGCACTAAACAAAGCACTTCAGTGTGTCTTCTGTTTGCATTCAAAGAGAGGGAGAGAGGAGACTCACTGCAGAGAGCTCATTGGAGTACAGTGGCCCCAGAGTTCAGATGGAGCCTCATCCCCCTTCACTGCAATATATTTTTTAAATTCCATTGGATTTAGGAATAGCACCAATTGATGTACTGTAACAAAGAGGTTCAGGGGATAAGTTAAAAGTGGAGGAAATAACCTAACTAAAGAAATTGCAAGCAGTATTAGTTGGCAGGTTTTATTTAGACCTCTTTTGTTTTTCTAGAGAAATTAGGATTCTTTTTTCACTTTCTTCTTTGACTGATAGATTATGCTTAAAATAGACCCTAGTTTTCTATTCCTGCTATGAAGCATAGAAGATTATTTTGTTATAATTATATTTCATTAATAAAAATGATGAAAATATGCAATATCCAATTAAGAGATCAGCCTACATTTTTATCTTATGAAAGTACAAGGCCAATCAGTTTCTATGGACAATTAGTCAATTGTGTTCCACCTTCCTTGTATGTTAAAAATAGCTGCAAATATTTGTCACTTCTAGGAATACTACCTGAAATACTAACAGTCAATCAAACTTGTAGCTCCCCTTTTCAAGGAGGCTACTCTGCAATATATTTTCAAACTATAGATTTGAAAATACATTCTAGTATTTTGCTGTAAAAATGTCACTGACAGGCCATCTTTTCTTTATTTGGAGAATGCAATTACTGCTGTAGGTGCAAAACCAGAGCAAACAGTCAAATGTCTCCACAAGTAGTAAGTATATTATACACCTTTCAGTACTTCACCTTAAGGTCAAATAAATGAGTACAGCCCCACCTGGCTGGTAGAATGGTGTAATTACCTCTAGTGATCCTGCCATGAGTGCCCTGTAGGAGGGAGAAGGCAGGCAGTCTAGAGCGGCTCCAAGTGTTTGTCTGAGCCGGATGAGTCTCCCAACTGATTTTGACTTGTGAATTGAATTTACCTGCACGCTGGAAGGAAAACTATTATATTTAATAGGATGGGATGGGTTTTGTTGTTGTTGTTGTTGCTGCTGTTGTTTTGTTTTGTTTTCAATGTGCTTAGTACTTCATATTATTAAAAAGAAAAAATGTATATAGTTCTGCCTGTAGAGTAGGTGAGATGATTGTTTAAGGTTATTAACTGACTTTCAGGAAACCTGAAGCACAGGCTTGGAAACAAGCTCCCCACAACCTGGGGGTGCAGTTGGCTTCTGTGCATGCTTCACTGGAAATGAACCTGAGCTTACTCTTGTCTCTTAAAAATGCACTATTAGGAATTTCCTTGAAAATTCGTATTTCTGTTGTTTGCAAACAAAAAAATGTAATGGTGGAGATCTTACACTGATGATGTGTTTATTTATACTACATATGCACAATCTGAAAGAAAACACTTTAGTCATTAATTTAAAATCATGCTCTGTAATTAAAGTGTTTATGATCTGGACATTCTTGCCCTTAATTTATATTCATCAAGCCTTTGAAATGGTATGGAACTTACATTTGGAATTCCTAGCTGCCCTGCTTACACTGTTATGCAGGTTACTTCTTACTTCTTTGAAGATTCCTTTGTGTCAGGCATCTCTACAGAGTAACGGTTTAGGAAGGTTTTGTTTTGGGGGGTTATCAAAAGTGGAGTGTAGGAGGGAGTAGCTTGTGGAGATGATTGCACTAACCTCATGCTTATCAACATTGTAAGGTAGGGACAGAGCTTGTCAACCCTGCAAAGCAGGGGACGAATACTTTGTGCTTATCAACACTGCAAAGCTTATTGACATTGTAAAGTAGGGCCCACTTCTACTTCTAGTTCTGAATAAAATACAGAAAGCAACATGAGACCCCCTGCACACTAACAGGCCAAGTCTACAATTAGTTGCAGAAGCAAAATCTCTTGCACCTTATTCTAAGGCCCCAAGTCAGTTAATTGGGTCTTCAATTAGCCTCTCGGGTTGTAATCAATTACAAGTGTAATTTCTGTGTGTGAGTGTATTTTGTGCAAAAGTAGTCTCACCAAAACCAAAGGGCAAGATTCAGATCTGTGTTCGCTCACTTATAGGCACAGAAGAGCAAAACCAAAGGCTTTGTGCAGTGCCAGCATTTCCTCAGCAGTTCCCATAAGCCTAGGGTCAAAGTACAGACTCTATAATCTAGGAAGGTTTGTTCACTTTAGTACTATTAAATTTTACTAATTTAAAAAATCTTAGTTTCAGTTATATAGTAATTATAATATTTTTCTTTCATATTACTGTTTAAATGTGATGTGTCTTTATGACACACGAGTATTCAAACAGGCATTCCCATCCTTAAGCACTAGTTGTAGCCTAGGATTTTACAATAGATCACTGGCTGTATTGCTCTACTTAAAAGGCCTTAACAAAGCACTAATAGGTAATATTGAAATCCAGTGGGTTTTGCTGTTTGTCAAAACTCTACTAAGTCAGCATAAAAAATTTCAGTCTCATTCAAGAAATTTAACAGCCTAGGTAGAGGCAAAACAAAGCAAAGCAAGCAGCGATCAAATGCAAACACGGACAGCAACTCATATCTGAAACAAACTTCCAGCACAAATTTCTGAATTTCCCCATGTCATTTTGGCATACCTATTTTACCACTGTGTTTCAGACAACAGCTTTTAAGTTCCCCAATTCATAAATGTAATTAAATAATTACATTAGTGCTAATTAACATGAAACTGCAGATTATTTAAGCGCAAAAAACACTATTCAACTTCTTAATTATTCTTGTTCACACAGCATTTCCTTTTGCTCAGGCGCCCTAGGTGCAAATAAAACATCCCATCTGCTCGCAATTAGAACTAAATAATTTCAGAGAATGTAGCTTATCATTTTGACTGCACATTTGATTAAAAACAGTGTACAAGCAATATCCTGGCTTATTGGCGTAACAGCAACAACACTCACAAGCCTGTGTTCTTCCATCATTAAAGAAGATCGAAAACATTATCTGTTATTTCAGGGGGAAAAATACAACTTTTTAGTTCATTTCATACAGATGAAAGCGAATTACAGCAAATCACCTCTCCACTGAATAGCAGCCCCCACATAATGACTTTATTTGCTTAATCCCCAAATTAAACGCCGTTTCGAGCGAGGGCCCTGTGTTATTACTCTCATCATGTCGAGAACATTTTCCTGCCGAGACCAATTTGAATAAAACAAGGGGCCTTCCTTGAACTCAATCAAGGAGCCATAATGTGGTGGGTAATAGAGGTTGCTGATAGATTTGCAGGCAAAAGTGTTATACCTAATGATGGGATATGGATAATAGTCCTCCTGGAGGTCCTGATGCGACTCCAGTTGGCTGCCAGATGCTGAAAAGCAAGAAGAGCATTGATCAGTGACAGGAAGCTGTAGTGGATTCATCTAGTCAAACTTCAGCTGTTTTTCCACTGTACAGTTAAGCCAGGCATAAATTATATTAATTGATTTAATTACATACTTAAAACATCTTCCCCAATTAATTTAATTAGGTGGCTACATGATGCTACTGGCAGGGGAAGATTAGAGGCAGCTCACTTAATTAACAGAATATGAATGAAAAAAAGAGAAAGCAAACATAAATGAAATTGTGAGCACTAATTAAAAGGCTGTCTGCAAACTTAAATACTTTCTGACAAAGTGGTGACAGCAATGTAGACAAGTGAGGATTTTTTTTCTAGCAAATTAAAATGTCAGAAGGTGTTATATATATATATGGAGAAAACAAAGTGCAGTTAAAACATTGGCTTTCTAACACAACTACCATAGTCAAAACAAAGAGCATTTTTTTATAGAAAAATTGCAACAGATTTTGCAGGCATATAAGCCAGATTCTGGGTTAAGACTAAAATATGTTGCAAAAGCAAACACAGAGTTTGTACATCTTATATTGCGGAGACTTATAGGTACAGGATACTGGCTGGGAGGGTGGCTGGAGAGGGAAGGGAAGATAAAAGAGACAAGTTATTGCAGTTGTTCAAGCAAGAAATGTTTAGAAAAAGAGGTCTTCTTTAACAGCTGGCAGCCTAGTGCACCTTGGCTCGAATGCGGAAATTCTCCAGGTGTCTCTGACGAGATTCCTTCAGTATCTTCTTTATCCTTATCCTGTGGCAATATAAAAGCCATGCAAGGGCGATCACACCTGAGGCCCACTTCTTCTGGCGATAACAAAGGAAGAATTTTCTTGTCTTATAACATTTCCATGTGGCTTGGATCTTGACCGCAGCCTCCGTCCTTCCTTCTCGGCCCTTGTACCTCTGTCCCGGAAGGTTTAACAGCATTTGGATGTGAAGCGGGTTCTCTAGCACTAACAGAACATCACTTTTGGTAAGTTTATTCTTCAGCTCAAATTCTGGAAGCAGGGACATCAAACTCGTCCCTCTAACTTTGGCTTCTGATATTGCATAGTCCTTGAGAAACTTCTCAATTTGTTCCAGGACAGAAATAATACTTCCCCAGGCTAAGCTATAATGTGCCTTGAATGCTAAGAAGTCTGGGGCTGTCTTGTCTATGGTGCCATCATAAATAGAAAAGTTGAAACTCCACGGTGTCTTTATAGTCTTAGTTGGTGTAGTAATTTTTAGAGCCTGGGGAAAGAAGGTTTGCCAGAAGTGAAATATCCTATGATCTCTTTTAGTGTGATCAACACATATGTACTAACACGTCATCAGTTACCACTTAGTGATGGGAAAATATGGCTTCTAGGACTGATTTTACATATGGACATCAGGATGTCAAAGTAATGTCATTTAAACTTGTTACCTAGGGATATCTTAGAGATGTTATTAAACTGTTATAAAAGTGTTTCTACACATATAATAAAGATCTACCTATCTTTATATATCATATATAATATATATGATGATATATATAGCTGTTTATAATATATAACAATCTGTTTCCCTGAGTCATTTTATAACATATATATATGTATATCTTTATATATAACAATAGATAGATATGTAAGATATATTTATCTTTATGTATGATTAGCTGACCATATCAAAGGAAACCAAAAGCAGAAACTTAGGATCTGTTTTCTTGAACCATTTTATAAATTATATATGTAATACAGATATATGTATATCTTTATTATTATATATAATTATTAACTATATATTACAATTAATAAGTATATAATACATAGGTATCTAATCTCTTACTAATCTATCTTTTATCTATATACCTATGGTCTTAGAGAACTATGTTGCTAATTCCTTGTTTTTAACTTGTCATCAACCTTAAAAACAGGGAAATACACTATTTTATGTGTAAATATCCAGAGAAATCCTCTAGGAGTGGGATGGTGGGTGATATTTTTAAGTGTTTTTCTGTATTAATAACATCATAAATTATAAATTAAGTCAAATCAGAAGAGATTTGGATGACAAAAGTAAAACCTAATACCACCCCCACTTAACAAAAACCAAACCTCTGGTGGCATAGTCCTGTCATCCCAACTGCTTCGAGTACTGAGGAATAAGGATCATAAGTTTGCCTGGACTACACAGTGACTTCATGCCCATCTTGTCTCGAAGTAAAAAATGAGAAAAGTACTAAAGATAGGTTTCATAGCAGTGCTTGCCTAATAAACATGAGGCCCGAGATTCAAGCCTTACTGTTAAAAAGGAAATTTTGCCAATAATAAAACCACTGCATTCAATGACTGATACTTGTTGCATGAAAAAATGAAACATTCTGCACCAGAATTGAGAAGTTTGATGAACTAGGGAAGGAGGGAAGAAGGAAACAAGAAGGCATGGGTGTTTCTGCCTTGAATTCTCCTCAGTGGAGAAGGTATTAACCTACCATGATGACTGTTTCTGCTTACTCAGGGATTTAAGAGATCAATTATCTTCATCATATCCATTGAACATGCATATGCCCATTTGGGGTTTATTGTTCTATGAAATTGTAAGAGCTTTCACAAAACTCAAAGGGCAAAAATGGTGACTTTATCAATAACTGCTGTGCCACAGCACTGCTAGGTTAGGATGGTTTATGCTTTGTCTGAAATAGCTATGAGTGATCAATAGGTAGGTACAAGGCAAAAGCCCCTCTAAGACTTAAAGTCTAAAGACACAGTAACCAAACATGGTGAAATAAAAACTTCACATTCCTTTTCCAGGTTCCCAGTAGAATAATAGATTATCATCTCAAGTCAAAATACTAAGTCCAAAAGGGGAAAGGCCCCTTAGTGTTAGATGCCAGCTCCAAACAGCAATGAGCTTTTGCACACTTTTAACTGAAGAACTGTTATAAGGAAGGCATAAGAGCAGTGGAAAGTCTTTTGCCAAGATTACCTCTCTTTCTGATCTAATCAAGACACAGAGAATGTAAATTGTTTTATAGATGGGATTAAATTCTTCTTTGTGAGTGGGTAAGAGAGTTTGACAAGTAGTGCTCCCATTAGCAGACGTTAGGGCTGGCAGGGTGAGCCATGAGTTGGGTAGAAGACGGCAGGTGGCACATGTCCCCACAGAAACAGCCCATGGCTACATTTCTACCTTCCTGCAAGGATGGGTTCTGATGGAAGAAGGTTAGAATTCAGAGAAGCATGGCATGGCTCCATCAGTGAGAAACAGGATGCAGAATGGCCACAGATGGCCGTGCATGGAGCTGGCTGGTCTTGCTAGTCATGTGTTTGATCCAGACCCCTATAAGAAGGAAAGGCTATGGATGGGTGATTTACCAGAGAATCCTGTCTCCTTAAAGATGTTCAGATAATTTCAAAATTCCTTATTCTTATGGAGAATAGTAATGAAGTAGGCTGTCTATGAAACAGAGACGTCTGGGAGCAGGGATTCAGGAGGGAAAGGACTCCTTCGTCTCTCTGAGACAATGCCTCTCTGCAGCTGAGTCTAGGAGATCTATGTACATCAACAAACATGGTTTACACCTTCTGATAGATTCACCTATCAGATTTGGACTGGATTTGTAGACTTTAACAGGGGTTGTTTTAGAACAAAAAGATTACACCTTTTTACCTTCTTGGATGAGATACCTGCTCTCAAAGGAAACATGCTCCTGGACATCCAATAGACCACTCAGGTGCCAGGAAGCTATGGGTTTGGAGTCAGCTAAAGCATAGCTGTGGTACATCTGTCACAGAGAATGCCACACACGGGAGCACTTCAGACTTAGAGCAAGAAAAGACATGCCTCTCAAGAGAAAGGCTTCCCAAATTAAAGCAGTGTATCAGCATTGTGAGATGCACTGAGCAGGTGAAGACAGAGTGGCTTCACAGCCTGCTAGGAATGAGAGCCCTGATTAAAGGTCATGCCATGCTTCAGGTGCTGCCTCCTTCTGTTGTTCTTCCTTTATCTCCACGACTTGTCTTGTATCATTTGTTGGTGTCCCTCATACCCTTCCATTTCTTCTTCTTTTGTTGGCAATGCCCTGCTCACCCAGTGTGATAACCACTAAGTAGCAAGATGGGGTGGCTCTGTTGTGACATCTGCATCCTCTCACCCTCTTCTTGCTCGGGACCACAGCTATACCTGTCCCTTTGTGAAATGCCTACACTCTAGACCAACCTACTCCTCCCCTCCCCCTGCAGCTCAAACCTGTAGCTGTGGCCTAATTATTAGCATCCTGCTCTAACTGACTGAGTCAACTAGCTGGGAAATGCTCTTTTTCATTTGCAAAGTGTAATCACTAATTAGTTAACTTTCAGAGTTTCTGGAGCAGTTATTTAGGGGAAATTCTAAATATAAAGCAAAGCAGAGGAAGGCAGGATGATGACATGTGTTAGTAAGACCCAATGGGAAGCAACATGGATAGGCACAGGACTGTAGCTGTACTAGAAAATTTAGGAATATTATCTGCAAAGATGCAAAGAACACATTCAGGAAAAACAACTTACTTCTAAGTGGGATTTTTTTGTTTTTGTTTTTGGTACCAGGTATCAAACCTAGGACTTCATTCATGCTAGGTAAGCACTCTACCCTTGGGCTGCACTGCCAGCCCTAGGCTAATTTCTTTTTCATTATTGTTTCTGTTGTTATGAGACAGGATCTCACTCTATAGCCCAGGCTGCGCTCAAACTTAACCGTCCTGCCTCAGCCTCTTGATTGCTAAGATTACAAGCATGCGGGCCTGGTGGAAGGGGTTAGTGGTTAAAATCACTGGCTGTTCTTTTAAGTTCTAAAGGAATCTAAAATTTAGAAGATCCAGGTTCAGATCTCAGCTCCCACAGGGTAACTTATAACTCCAGGTCCAAGGGATCTGACTCCCTCTTCTGACTTCTGTGGGTACCAGACATACATGCAAGCAAAAACACCCATATACATAAACATTATTTAAAATTACAGGCATGCAGCATCATAGCAGGCTAAGATGAATTTCTTAAAAAAAAAAATCATTTTCATATATGTGGACAGCAGATACACAGAGTACCAAACTGATCTCCTAGTGGTGAAGAGTGGGACAGCCGGGAAATCTGCTATGGATGCACCTTTACAGAGTGATGATCATTCCACTGCCTGGAAGGAGAGAGAGACTATGATACTCTGCTGCAGAAACCAGTGTTTGCTTTCTCAGTCACCAAAACACACCCACTAGGATTGGTCTAGGTAACCCTACTGCATTTAGTTCTAAGTGAGAGCTTAGATAAAGGGATGAAGAGTGTTTCCTGTAAGTCTTTATTTTTTTCCCAAAGACCAAAGATGTCATTTGTCTGACCTTGTTTTTTATTTCTAGTGAAGGTCCTCAATGTGTCAATCTTTGTACAGAACAAAGTTGAGACCCTCAGTGGGCTGGAACTGTTCAAAAGATAGAACATTGAGAGAGAGAGAGAGAGAGAGAGAGAGAGAGAGAGAGAGCAGAGAGAGAGAGAGAGAGAGAGAGAGAGAGAGAGAGAGAGAGAGAGAGAGCTAGCTGCTGACTTAATTGGGGTTTAGGAACATAGCATAAGCACAGTTCTGAATTTTAAAATATAAGGGATCTTGAAAGTCACTAGCTTTGCCTTTTGCTCAATAGAGTATTATGGGCCCAGCAAAACAAGATTTGTCACTGAAGTCCACTATCTGGGTTCAAATCTGAGCTCTGCCACAGTCTGATGCATACTGCAGGCAAGACACTACTCTCTGTGGACCTGGATTTTACCATCTGTAAGAAGGGGAAGTTCACATAAACCTTTCCCAGTGCCTCACCTTGCCGCAATAGTTACCATATAGATGAGAAGCTGATGCTCAGAGATAGTAAATGAGTTGTGTAAGATCACAACTCTTTGTGGAGCTCCTAGGACAGTGTTTTTGCTATTGACAAAAATAACCACATTCCTAAATATCCCCAATACATACAGAACTAAAGGGAAGGGTTCCTAGGTGATGCCTGCCCTCACTATCTTTTCAATGTCTTGCCTCATTCCTCTTTATGTTCTCATGGCATTTTCTCATTTTGCTCTTCCATACCTTATCCTATATTGCCCTACCCCCATACCTCCAAGTTCTCACAGCCTAATGTTTCCAGAATTTTCTGTGTGGCTCCTTCCTGAGCTGTGTTCTCCTTGTTCAGCCTTCTAGTAACCTTTTATGTCTGAGCTAACCTGTCCTTCTCTTGACCTGATATTTCTTCTTATTTGCTGGGCTGGAAAGCAATTTGTTAAATTAATCCCCATGAATACAAAAGGGGACATACATGGTATGGTGGGGAATGGTGATTCTGAAGCCAGAAGACCTGGAATCTGGTCTATACTGCCTTCTTCTGTGGACTCTGCAAGTCACTTCCTCTGTAAGACTTGAGTGTCTATTAAGAAGCCACTTAATAGAAACTTAGTTAACACTTCTAATTTGCAGCCATATGTCCTCTCTGACATAACATGTCACCCCTCTAGATGTATTGGCTTTAAAATGTTTTTCTTATTTTTTTGTTTGGGACAGTGGCTTCAAACTTGCTATATAGCTGAAGGTAGCCTTGCACTTCTGGTCCTGCTGTCATTACCTTTTTGAGTGCTGAGCTTGCAGGCATTTGTCACCATGCTTGGTTTTATGCAGTGCTGAGAACCAATCCAGGGACCTGTGCATGCCAGACAAGCACTGTGACTCCTGAGTCACATCCTCAACCTAGTGTCTTTTTAAACAAAACTCCTGGAGCTAGGAAAACCATGAAACCAATGCAACAACTTCATGGCTGTTACTTTCTGACCATGAAAAGGAGATTTTTCTTCTCTAATTTTTATACATAAAATTGTTTGTAGCAACTTCCTAACCAAAACAGATGACAAATTATCTACACTATCTGCTGTGCAGGATTGAGAAAACCCAAAAAAGTAATGTTCTAGAATTCTGAGGTGTGTGCATGAGCAAGACAGTCTTTAGGCTGCAAGACATGGAAGCTACCTAAGACTGGACTGTCGGAGTGCACAACCCATACAAAGGGCATAAAAGGAAGAAAGCACAGAGACACATAAAGGAAAGGACCTAAGTGTTAAGGCCACTAGTATCAGCAGCAGTTTTTTAGAATAATTCCAGCCATTCATATGAAAGATGCCATATTCACTAGGTCTTCCTCAAATCTGAAACCATTCTAAAGAGAAAAGGTGAGCTCTCATGAAACAAAAAAACAGAGTCCATCAAATCCATATGAAAGATCAAACAGCAGGATCAGAGAGGCACTTTAAATAGACGGGTCTGTTCTCAGTCAAATGTGAAATTCCCTTTTCCGGAGGCTCATTCTACTTCACTACAGCATTGATTTCATCTTCTCTGATAGCCTTCAAATGCTTGCTGAGAAAATGTGGCGCAGTTAAGGACCACTTGGGACAATTATGATGGATGAGTTGAGCCTGCTGGGGATATGCACAGGAAGCATGACAAGCTGGGGGATCAAAAGCAGCTTCGTTTCCAGGTCCCCCATCAAGGCACATTATTTTCTCTGTAGGTACTGGAGAAAGACCTGGTCTTGTAAAGGATGGCCATTACCACAGAAGTGAAGTTTGGCACTCCGATTTTCCTCAAGAAAAGGTGTGTGGAGGAAGTCTGTTGGTCACAGACCACTAAAGAATATTTACAGGATTCTCATGGTGCTCTACTTGGGCACAGTCTCAACAGCTATGTGAGTAGTCTGCTTTATTTTTCTCTAAGTATGGATCATTCTAGGACATTACAGTAGATGACTATCATCTGCCTTCCTCAGTGAAACAGAAATCTTGAGAGGGCAAGAAATTTGTCTCATTCACTATTGTGTTTGGCTGCCACTGTGGTCCACTGTTTGATGCACATTAAAAGTCAGTGAGGATTTGTTGAGTGAATATATGTACCTTTAATTTTAACTTCGAAGCCACTTGGACTGATTTACAATACAAAGCTGTTCTGTGATCAGGTAAGATGTCTGACATTCATAATTTAATGTTGAACAACATAATGGCCATTAAAACTATGGGATATCTTTAATTGAAGAATATTACGTAGTGAGCTTTTAACAACATTGTACAAGCTTGTGATAAAGTATTAAAATCAAAATTAAAGACACAGTGTGATGGGACTACAGAACATGACAAGGCTTAAATACTGCCAAAGGGTTATGATGGCATCAGAAGATTCTCCCATACTTGGCATTTTTCGCCTTTCTGAACTTTATTTTTTCCTGAGTAATCATTAAAAAGTGTGTTAAGTAAAATACATAAAGGAAAAATATTATTTGTGGATTGCTGATAAGTTAACCTCTTTTCTGATGTGCATAAATAAACCATTTACATGTAACAAATATACATAGTAGGCAATGCTGATAAAGATTATAAAAGTAATGCAGTTTCTTCTCTCAATTACTTTTACATGAAGAAAACTGCTTTTCAAATAAAACCACATATTTAAATTTACTTTGAAGGTTTAATGCCAAAATGCTTAGGTGGGAGGGGCAATTTATTAGGGAAAATTTAAAACAGCTTCTAAAGGATTCCACAGTCTCCTTTTTTGGGAATTTTCCCCCTTCTTCCTTAAATAAGGTGTTATGAGAGAGAGGCAGAGAGACAGTGAGACAGAGAGATAGGAAGACAGAGAGACAGAGAGGAAGAGAGACAGAGGAAGAGAGGCAGACGCATACACAGAGGCAGAGAGACAGAAAGACAGAGGGGTGGAGGGGCAGACCTTACTGGCTTTATACACATACACACACACACACACACACACACACACACACACACACACACACACACACACACACACACACACACACACACACACTCGGAAATGAGAAAAGATGTGGGCAGTAACAGGTTCAATGCTGCACAAATTGTCTGATTAAAATGGTACAGCTGACTCATCCATAAAATATTAAGTTTTCCATGGAGGCAATCACAAGAATATACTGGAAAGATACTAAAGAAACCAAAGCTATAAAAGTGATTAAGAAACAATCCTTACCCCAGCTTTCCTAACACTGGGATTACAGACATGCCTCACCTCATCCAGTAATTATTGACTATCTATTTAATTAATCTAGAAGACAGAAAAAGGCTATCTATATTGAAGCTGATAAAAACAGACATGACAGCAGAGGTGACGACTGCTTTCTGATAGGGAAGAAAGCAAATATGACACAAACTTATCATCTAAGCACATGGCACTGGAAAGGGAAAGCATTAAATACACTGGATAGGAGAACATGCAATATATTTTAAAAGGATTGTCATTGTGAATGATGAAGATTTGTAGGTTTCTAATGCTTTGGGGGTTTGGAAGTCATGCAATCCACTTTCCTGAACCAGCTCTATCATTTACCTTGGATGACTCACCTCTCTCTGCCTGATTCCTCCTAGTCATATGGGAATAATAATAGCACCTACCACCTAGAGATGTGAAAACAAGGGAAGCAACCCACTGAAGATGTTAGAAATAGAGCCTAGTGCAGTACAGGTCAGCAAAGCAGCTGTACTAGAAGTAGTATTTGGAGGACTGGCCCCTAGGAAAGAACTCCTATATAAACCTCACACTGCCCTTTTGCATCTAACTGGCCAGGGGCAGTGACAGCACAGAGGTTCCTCTATCATCACCAGGGGTCAGTGAACATGGAAAGTGTGTCATGCCACATACACGGGACATGCTGAAGCCATATCAGCAGTTCCTAAGTGTGCCAGGTAAATTAAGCCTTGGGGTTCTTTAAGAATGTTCTCTTTTTGAGGTACAAAGTAAAGCTCATGGTCTCTACATAGTGAGAAGTCATGAGAATGAGAAGGAAGATGTAATTGCGTTGATCAGTTAGTAATCCGGGAGCAATGCATGCAGGTTCGGAAGGACTGTCTGCAATCACTGTTGTAAATCCAGCCTTAAGCACCACTTCTGAGAAGAAGTGGAAGGGGGCTCCCTTCTCGAGAGGAATAGACCTTACTAGAATGTTCCTGCCATACTGTGGGGACAATTTCATTTTTCCTTTTTGTTGTTGTTGCTGTTGCTTTGGTTGTCATGAACTGCTTAACTCTAAATTCTGTTTCCTCAGCCTACTTTACAAACACAGTATGTGTACATACACGTGCACGCACATGCTTGTATATGTAAGTACAAGTGTACACGCGTACACATGTGAGCAAATACCAAGAAACTAATCCATTCATTTTTAACATCTATACTTTCAAATGATGACAATCTTTGAAGCTAAAGACACACGTGATTCAGCCACATTTTGAGGATGAGAAATCACTTATCTGGACTGAAGACAGTGTGGCATGAGTCAGTCCTGACAGGGATCAAAGAAATGTTTTTCACTTTAAGTGAACCACAATTACTTTTTTTAAACCATGATCTAATTTCTTTTATAAAGAAAGTGCAAAAGTACTTTTGTTGCCAATTCCAGCTGTCAAGTTGCCTCCCATACTTCTGCCCTGAAGCAAAAGGAATGGAGGACATCAGGTGACAGATCCCAAATTCCAACTAGTCACACAAATTACTGACCTTCCTATCGACGTTTCCTCTTGGCCTTTTGCCTTTCCCCTACAATGAAGAATGGGACACAGTTTAAATCAAAATGGCTCTCATGGGCAGTATTACAAAACAAATAGAAGGCTCAGTCCTGTCCACCCCCCCCAACCCCCACCCTTCTTCCCTTCCCCTTCTGGGCCCTCCTGTCCCTACCCACACAGGCAGTGGCTAGTAATCAGAAGGACCTTCCCCTCCCCCAGACATCCATACTGTGCAAGTCAAGCCCCATTCTGCTTTCAGGTAAGGGTTTGAGAAGTAAATATTTACATATGCAGCCACTCCGAAAGGCATTTGTAAGAAAGGGTTTCCTGTGGTGTCACGCTTGGGGCTGAAGCCTTAGTAGAGGGTCTGCAAAGGCTCCAATATGGAGCCCAGCACCTGTGTCTTTCTCTTCACCATTAATGTCCACACCCAGTTTACCATCTACCACTATTAAACAATCAATTCAGAAATGTACCAATCTGAGGTCACATCCTGTTTTTAAAAGTAGGGGAAACCTTAGTGAATCAATAGGGGAAAATAATGCCAGGGTTAATCAGCATTTAGAAAACACATTATCATTAATTTTTTTTTTTTTTTTTTTTTTTTTTGGTAAACTGCTTACTGGCTAAAACCTCACTGTGACATGGGTATTACCTGTAGATTTGATCTCTATAAAACAAAGGGAACAGAGAACTCACTTGGAGTGAGAATCTAAACAGGTGCCTGGGCCCATGGCATTATGCACATCAGCCATGGCCTCCTCACAGCCTGTTAAACAGCTGAATTTGAAACAATAATGGTGCGGGCCAAGCACCTGCCAGAAGGCCTGTCTGTCTTGGGATTTGGCCATTTGCATTGATTTTCTTTCTTTCTTTCTTTCTTTCTTTCTTTCTTTCTTTCTTTCTTCCTTTCTTTTCTCACATTTTTCATGAAACGCAAATATTTGCCATGGCAACTGGGATGTCACATGACATTCTGTTCCATAAGCAGCCTGGCAATCTCTTAAAAGGAAATGACCCACCAATGTTGAAAATGCAGCCAAGACTTCTGGAGGGTGTTTGGGCATTTAAAGAGGAGGTGCAGGAGAGCAGGTAGCAGCCTGTCAGGCTCAGTGGGGCTAATTTCTCTGGAGCTGCTCTCTAATTCCTCTTTCTTTTATTCATGAGAACAGCTAAAAACATGACTAAACAAGGTATACCAGAAAAAGTACTGCCAGATGTCTCCTTTCTATGGAGAAAAGTTTCAATTACCCTAAATCTGTCAGTGGTCCTTAAAATGAGAAAGGATCCTATTAAAAAACCCAGCCCCTTTAAACTGGGAACACCTTCAGGAGGGTGAATTACACTTTATGGTGAGGGGCTAATGTTAAAGAACAATTTAATAAATAAATAAATAAATTGTTCCTCTTCCCCATCATTGTTTTCTGTAAAACTTGGAGGGCTTGTCTTTCCTTATGCAAAAAGACAAATGAGATACAGGAAAAAAACAAAAAACAAAAAAACAACCTCTCGATAGCACAGATATAGATGTAGACCACAGATGTAGATGTACAGCAAGAGTTACTGTACCCAGACTCCTGGCCTCTGACCAGCTGCTAGCATAGGCAGATCACTTACTTGCAAATCTCACAATAATGCAATGGCTCTTGCTATCTTAGACCCAACCCACAGTGTCATGGAGTTGACTTGTGCATTCATCTTCCCCTTTAAAAGCTGGAGCTGCCTGTGTAAGGTCAGTGGTGAGCTCTTCCCCAGCAGGTGGGAGGCCGTGCGCTTGACCCATAGCACCACAGAGAACAACAGTCAGATGAAATGTTCCTTCAAAGCTGCCTAAAGGACGCCTATCCCAGTGTATAGATTGCTTGCTTTCTGTTGGAAGCATGAGTACCTTTATCTTTCGTTTCTTTTGAGACACCGCCACTTCTGGAACCTGGTGTTTCTTCTGAGCTAGAAGGAAGGGGGCTGTGGATGGAGGCAGGGCAAAGTTATTTCTTCCAGAGAGGCTGAGCCATTTGATATATGCTATGATGTTTGGCTCAAAAGCCATGTGGCTCTGTCACCCACTGTTTGCTTACTCCCTGCATTTGCTGTACCCGAACTGTGACACCTCTGTGACTGCTGACTCCAAAGCAAAATCTACAATAGGGCAACTTCTTCCTAGAACACATGGTCAACCCACCTCATGCAAAATGCCTGGATGAAAATTAGACTTGAAAAGCACAAGGATTAGAGAGGAAAATTTGTCTCTTAAAATGAAGACTCCTTTAAGTAGCCAGATTCCCAAGTTTATGTATAAGATAATTAATAGTTACATATGATAGACTATTTTATTAGGTAGCTACTAAAAAGATGACTAAAATTTAAAATGACTTGGGGGAACTGATATGGTGAATAACACCATAAAGATTATTTTTTAAATTAATTAATCTATAGGCAACAAGTCTCTCAGTCACGTCTTCCCTGCCAACTGACTGCAAACTCAACTACCCTCCGAAAATAGCCAAGCCTGGCATTCTAGGGGAGAAAAACCCTATCATTATCCTTATCAAGCAAGAAAAGATTTATTTAAATGGTTAGTTGGATACAAAGAAGAAGATGAGAGTCTTCTTCCATCCCAAGTCCTTCAACTCAGCCCTCTTTTCTGTAAGTTCTGTAAAAGAAGTCTTTGAAAGGATTGATTGACATTGATCAAAACTTAATAAATGATAGCAATGCACAACTTAGTCTCACTTGGAGGACTCCATGAGCTCAGCCTCAAGTTGGGCTACAAGGAATCTTTTCATGCATTTTTTTAGAAGTAGCAAGAATTTCAAAGCATTAAAACTTGACACATAAGGAATCTGCTGCATCTGGACCAGTCATACCCACTCTCTGATTCCCCTGGTTTCTAGCAAGTCTCTCTGTGACTGTTCCTGGTTCTGCTGCCCAGTGCATCAGTGGCTACAGACCCCTTTAGAAGCCTAAAAGCTCTTGCCTTGACCTCTGCACTCTTCTGCTATGTTGCTCACTTTGGACTCTGTTATCCATCTCTCCCCATCCTGGGGTGTCTTGAATCCATACATTCACCGTAAAACTGATTCTTCCTAATGTCTGTAGACTCACTCAGTACAGTTTTTGTTTAAATTTCAGGCTCCTAGAGACAAGTGAGCTTTGTGGCTAAATTCCTGTGTTTAGACAACATAGCAGTTGGTAAGTTTTTGACTTTTAAAATTTTTTGATAAAACTCCAAGGTTTATACATTTTGCATGGATGAGCCACAACTAATGGGATCTAAGGTTCTCAGGCACCTGCTCAGAGGCTGTCATTTTGCTGCCCTTCACTCACCAGCCTTGGATTTTATGCCCTTCATTCACCGGCCTTGGATTTTATGGAAGGTATACATTTGAGTTATGTGTCTGCATCTTTAACAAAACAATCCCTAGGGTTGCCTGATTTGAAACACAATTTCCTTTCTAGAAAATTTCAAAGACAAACATTTCTAGGAGAAACACTGGCAATTTCAGAGAGGGAAGAACCATTCATTTGTAAAGTAAAAAAATAAATAATTTCATGTGTAAAAATGTATTTTGGCTGCATGTATGACTGTACACCACATACATTGCCTGGTGGCCACAGAATCCAGAAGAGGGCATTGGATCCCTTGGAACTAGAGTTACAGGCAGTTGTGAGTTGCCACATGCATGCTGGGAACTGAAACTGAGTCCTTTGCAGGTACTCTTAACTGCTGAGTCATGTCTCCACCCCTTGGTATCTTTCCTGACAAATCTGTATGCTTCTGTGGTAGTTACTGATACTTGCATACAAATAGCTGCCTCTTTTCTTCCTGCATAATTTTTAAAAACTTTTTTCTTTCAGATCAAGAATACACCCAGTTCCTAAGGTTGTCAGACTTAGCAAGAAATAAAGGATATGCAATTTAAAAGTTTAATTTTGCAAGTCAGTTTTAAATATATCTCAATTATTAACTCTATTTAGGTAGTCAACAAAGGACATAATGCTTATTAATGGACTGGACTGAGCACAACTCATCATGCTAAGTATTTAGTCTAAGAATGTCTAAATAAAAACACTGGCCCTATCCCTGGATATTTCCTTGTCTTCCTTGTGGCTAGTGCTGATGAAACCTGATAGATTTAAGAGAAAATATGCCTACACCACCATTTTCCCCCTTCCCCACCTAGAATGTGTATGGTAGGCCCGGGTTTGCAGGAGGGGTCCTTACAGCCAAGAGGGTGAACGTGAGGATGAAAGCAAGCATGAGGGAAGGTCAATTAGAGGGAGCACCGAGAGTTCTCTCACCCCCAAATAAATACTTACTACTTAAAAGACTAAACCCAGAAAGTTCTGGAAAGGATGTGGATAAAACAAGACAACACACATCACAATAAAATATGAAAACTAAAAACAGAATAAAATATTGAAAACAGGTTGAGAAAAGTAACATCTTACCTAAAGAAGAGGAATTTCACTGTCAATGGATTTCTAATCAGAGGCTGAAAAAATACATGGCATGACTTCTATTTCTCATGTTAAGATGAAGACATGTCAACCAGAATCATATGCTCAATGAAAATTTCTTTTAGGGGTGAGAGAGATAGCACAGTGGTTGGGAGCCCTGGTGGCTCTTTCAGAGGACCCAGACTCAATTTCCAGCAACCACATGACAGCTCATCCACATGTCTGTAACTCCAGATCCAGGGTATCACACACACAGACACACAGACACACACACACACACAGACACACACACACACACACACATAGAGAGAGAGAGAGAGAAAGAGAGATAGAGAGAGAGACAGAGAGAGAGAGACAGAGACAGACACAGACACAGACACAGAGACAGAGAGAATCAAAACACCAATGCACATAAAAAGTAAACATTTTTTTAAAGCTTTAATTTTTTTTTCTTTTGGGGGAAAATATGGGAACTGAACACATTTCCAGATGAAAGAAAATCAAAATACTGTATCACTCATATACAGACTCTAAAAGAACAGCTAAACAGGGAGGAAATGATCAAAGAGGAATGCTTAGAAGATGAGAAAGTGAAGAAAACAGAAAGAAATATCAGCAGAAATAAAAGACATTCCTTTTCTTTTTGCATCTAGAAATTATATTTGATTGTTGAACCAAAAATCTTTAACACTTCCTGGTATGAATCTAAATGTAGGTGGATGAAGCAGACGTGAAAGCGTCTTAAGACACAGAGATCATATGCCTAGGCATTCACCCAAAAAGAGGAGAGCACGTGTGCAATCACAGGCCTGAGCATCCCTTCAAAGAGTGGAGAGCACTCACTCCAGACAAAAGCTGCACACCAATGTTTACTGGAGCTATCTCATAACTGCTGAAAATTCCAAGCTACTCATGTCCTTCAACAGGTGCACAGCTAAGCAGCTGTAGCATGCTAACATGGAACATTACTCAGCAGCAAATGGGTAATTATCACAATGAGCTCCAACTGAATCCAACAACACATTAAAAAGAACCCATATCATGATCAAGACAGATTCATGCCAGGAATGCAAAGATGGCTCAACATATATATCAGTTAAGTGTAATACAGAATATAAACAGAATCAGATAAAAATCCTGTAGTTATTTCAGTACACACACAAAAAAGCCTTTGACAAAGTTCAACATCTTTTCCTGATAAAAGCTATGAAGAAACTAGGAGTAGAATGATCATACCTCACTATAACAGAGGCCACATATAGGCTATAAAGTTTAATGATACAAGGAGTGCACAGACTCTCAACTCTAACACAACATACTCAGACTCTCAACTCTCTAACACACCATACACAGACTCTCAACTCTCCAACACACCATACACAGACTCTCAACTCTCCAACACACCATACACAGACTCTCAACTCTCTAACACACCATACACAGACTCTCAACTCTCTAACACACCATACACAGACTCTCAACTCTCTAACATACCATACACAGACTCTCAATTCTCTAACACACCATACACAGACTCTCAACTCTCCAACACACCATACACAGACTCTCAACTCTCCAACACACCATACACAGACTCTCAACTCTCTAACACAGTGTACAAGCTCTCCGTGGCTATCCTCAGCTCTTTTATTTACCCAGATAACCTCAAGATGCTTAAACTCTCATATTGTCTGTTACTGAAGATTAAAGTTGTCCATTGGCAGAGTCCACATTTGGTAGGGAGAGACCATTCCTGCAGAACCCCAGCTAAGCACACAGGCATGGTGTCTTACCTTCTGTTGAAATCCTACGTGGCTCATCAAAACTATGCAGAGGAACTGCTTGGGGTTTAATGGGTGGATTCTGAAAGGTGATCCTTGCTGTTGGGGGAATCAATCCCCGTTGGATCATACTTAAGATCCCTAAAAGGAAGATTAATGGAACAACAAAACACGAGTTTAACTCTAAGCAATTCTACAAAGTCTGAGCTCTATGAATTTCACAATGGTAACTTAACATATTCATCATCTCATTTGTAAAGGTACATTCTAGTGCCTTAATCTTTTGCATGAAAAATAGCTATAGCACATTTTAAGCTTAATATTCTAACCCAAGGGGAAAATCATTTCCAATTGCGATATTATGAAATCAAATTGCACTAAGATAATTTCATTTTTATGTAGAAATATAATTTCAAGACAAACTAAAACTTCCTTACACTTAGAGCATTTTCAATCACTGGTGATTTTATTGCTCTTTTTGAAATTCAGGGATATGAGGCATACATTCTTAATAACTAAGGTTTTTTCTTTTGTTCTGAAAGAAAAAAATTTGTGTACTTGAACCCATGTGCCTGCTATTATAATCACTCATATTTTGTAAATGAAGGAATTACCTGTACACATTCTCATATCATCAGGAGTTATGAAAGCCAGATTGGATATTTGACTATATTAGAGCAACATGTTAGTATTCATGAAACCAATGTACAGTTTCTTGTCATCAGCAAGGCTGAAGCCAGGTCTTTCTAAGGGCAAGGCACCTTGTTAAATGAGTAAATGGGTAAATAAATAAACAAAGCCTGCTGTCAAGGACAGAACTTTCCTTACAGTGGGTCTATTGTTTTGATGTCAGAAACCCAGAAATTTGGGGACTACCTGCAACAAACTTGGGCTAGGACTTCAGATTCTTGTTGTGCTCTTACACAAGAGAAAGAAAAGTGAAGAACTTTCTATTTCAACAAATACCTAGTACACAAACTAAAACCAAAAGCTGGACTAAGTTGAAGAAGTTGACACTCTTAGGAGGAGATACTGTTTGTGTCTGCTTCAGGAACCCCATGAGGACAGCATATTGTTACTAGGAATGTTATCTCAGTGTCACAGCAGGTCAGAAGAATGGTCACTGATGGGCTAGAAAGCACAATCATTTGTGGGAGGACTTTTTTTCTTATTGAAGGTGGAGATTTCTGATCCCTGTTCCAGACCTGTCCAAAAGCTCGAGAAGAGCCTGAAGATATGAAGTCTTGAAGCTTCATCATAACATGTATGTGCCCTGACATGTGAGAACGACCATCCATGTTAACAAGCACTCCAGCCCATCTTCTTCTCTATGCTTACAACTTTAAACCCTCTGAGAAATCAGTCAGATTTCAACTTTCTTATCACTAGAACTGAGCAAGCTCTGTGTTTTAAAATAGTATGATAAATAATTTGTCTTCACAAATATTTTTCACCATCCAGGCCAAATCCCATGTGTAAGAGCTGTGTCTGCTTCCCAGCTGTGAAAACTAAATTCTGGTCTGTGTGCCATGAAACTTGCATTCTCAACTACTGACTTCTTAGATTTTGCCAGATAATTCAAGAAAAACTAGGGAATCCTTTTCATGTGGATATTGTTCATCTTTCATCTCATGCTGAACTTGTGCAGACCTGGAGTGGATCATAGATGTCACTTAATGGCACCAAAACACCTGAAAATTTCACACATATTTCTGAGACTTGTGCCTTCCTGACACTAATATTACCATATCTGGTTATGTACCATAACCAGATATATGGCAACTACTCCATGTGTGCTAATTGGTTGACTAATTACAAATATGATAGGCCATGTGTTCTCTGGTAGATTTAGAAACAAAAATGTAACTTCTGTCTTTCTGCACAAACTGCCTTGATCCTAGACTTACCTTTGTCTTATAGTTATTTTTATCTGCTAAAGCGAGGATCAATTCATTCACTCTTCCTAATTTCATCAAGTAGGAAGATGACACTGAAGCAAGAAATTCACTTACTGTTGTTACTCAGTGTTCCTGGGACGTCAACAGTACGTAAGCTACTAGAAGGTGTATGCCACAGGACTTCCCACAGCTAGAAAGTTAAGCTATGGGAAGCTTAACAAATTCAGAGACTCATTACTTTCTAGGGTATCCACCGCCAGCAGACAGAGGTCAGCAGACAAGACCCAAGAGCTAGACACCAGAGGATTTTGAATCTCCAGGGGTCACAAGAATGGTTTGGAACCAACTCTGGGTCCTGAATATTCCAAACAGACAGGAAGTAAGATTATGAATAACTCAAGGCCATCTTCCTCCATTATATTTGAGATAGGAAAGGGGATCCACTTAGCCATTCTTTAACACTCAGCCAGTCAAATGAAACTAAGAAGATTATAGTAGATATCGAATTCTAATTCTTTGACTTAGTTATTTAATTTGTTTATTCATTCAACTCACATTTTTTTAACCTACAAAAACTCTAATACAGTCCTGGGCACTGTGGATACTGAGGTAAAGATCATACCACCTTTTTTTTTTTATTAGAAATCCAATAGTTTGCAACACTAGACTTTAAAATATAACCCACGTAGTTAAAGGGGCTGGAGAGTTGGCTAAGTGGCTAAGAGCAGTGGCTGCTCTTTCAGAGGATTCATGTTCAATTCCCAGCACCACATGGTAGCTCACAACCACCTGTAACTCTAATTCCAGGAGATCTGATGCCCTCTTTTGGGCTCCAAGAACATCAGGCATGCGTATGATACACAGGCATACACATATCCAGGTAAAACATTCATACACACAAAATAGTAGTAAAACTAAAAAAGCCATAGTTATATTATCTCTGGATTTGTGTTTTTGCATAGCAGTATTCTGAAATAACATCAAAAGGCAATCAGAAGAACATCAGAAATTAGTTAGAAAACAATAAACATGATAACAATTTTAATACATAGTACCAATATGTAAGTCAATAAATATTAAATCCATGAAATAATAGATTCAAAAGTGGAAGGGACTCATGATCACCTAATCCAGGGTGAAACTGAGCCCAGGTGAGGACTGACTTGTCTGAGGTCGGTCACCTAGGAAAATTAGTGGCTGAACTAGGATTCCAGCTCAGGGCCCTGATTACCCTCAAGGCTCTTGCCTCCATGTCCCTAAACATAACATGGCTGCACAATCACTAACCTTTACTGGCATCCTTTGGCAAGACAGGAATGGGAATAAAATGGGGATCAGTGCGATGAGATGGTGGCAGAACCGAGAGGCTGGATATTGTGGACCCTTTTACTAACCGATGAACCTTCTCCTAGGTGAGAAAAAAATGTTGTTACCTTCACAATGAACACAGTTTTCTTTTTGTAAACAATAAATTAGATTATGAATAGTTTCATTAAGTTTTAATAAAGTAGCAATACCAGCTCCGATTTTATTGCTCCTGAGTACTCTGTGCTACTGTCTTCTGTCAGGATTTTGTGTAATTTAAAATAGTTAATTAAATCCAATTAACATGTGGTGATTTCCACTATGCAAATTCAGTGTAGTAGTTAATAAAGGAACTATTAAGATTTTGTTCAATTTTAATGACTACAATATAAAAGTACTAAATCTTGACATAGGAGGTTTTGAATACAGCAAAGTTGTGCACAGGCAGATTTCCCAGGAAATAAATAAGAGTCTTGAGGTTATAAAAACGAACTGGAAAGATTTAAAGAAAGGCACTTAAGTCAATAGTAACAGGCTAAGTGTGAACCCTGAGTAGACTGCTGAAAACTAAGGAGAGGATAAAATACAATGTCTCAATAAGTCACACAGATAACCACTGTTCTTGCAGTCAGAAATGCTCTTATTATAGTTATGAAATAGGAATTGATTCTATTTAATGGGTTTTAGATTTTAAAGCTCATATAAGTTGCATATAAGTCAGACTTAATTGTATAGCTCAAGTACACTGTTTTTACCTTGATCATAGGAGGTTGTTGATTACTGGGCCCCTCTGTAGGAAGAATTCCTCTGTCTGCTGTTTTAAAACATTTAAATTTTCAAGCCATTTTCCAAGCATTAATTAATTTTCATAGCTTCCAGTGGAACTAGGTAATGGTTTACTACTTAACTTACAAGGAACTTAAAGCATGCAAGTTAGTAGATTTGCTTCAGGACACACATACACCAAATATGCAGTCTGTCCATTTAAAATGAATCTGGTTTTCCAACAGTGGACAATGTCATTGGTCTCAGTTGTATTACATCTTCTTGCCCATTAGGCTTAAGGACAGAAAATAGAATGTTCCTTTCAATCAGAGGTAGAAAATCTCTTTACAGATTAAATATTAGCTGAGCAAAGTGTTCAGGTCCTCAGCCAGGATGTGGTACTAAAGGGTAACGACAAAGCAGCATTTCCCAATGCACTGAACTCTTCATGATGCTCAACAAATAGGAGGAAAAAATTACTCTTTTTTGGTGCTGTGGGTCTTGTACATGTCTGGCAATCACTGTACCACAGAACTGCATCTCATGGCTACAAATAATATTTAAGAAAGAAGTGTGTGAATACATATGCAGGTCTGGGGCTAATACTGGGTATCTCCCTGGATTACTTTCTTCTTTATTCATCAAGGCAGAGTGTCTTGCTGAACCCAGAGCTAGCCAGTTTGTCCAGAGGATCCCATTTCTGCCTTTCTGGGATTATAGGCTGCCTCTACAACTGCTGGACTTTTACACAGGTTCTAGTGATCCCAACTCCAGTGCTCACACTTGGGAAGGCTTTTACTTCAACTATTGCACCATCTCCCCAGCCCTTAATAGCATTTTAAAAGGGAAAAGTAGACAGGAAGTGCTGTCTGTTGCCTTCCACATCAGTTGGAATGGGAAGAGCAACTAGCCTTTTTTGCAGTTCCAGTGGGGGATCCTGCAGGAGAGTCATACAGAATCCCAGCCTTGCTGAGATAAAAGGGTTGCTCTCCCTTGTCCTTAGCTCTCTTCTCTCCTCCTCTAGACCTGAGTTGCTTCTGGAATCTCCTCTTAATCTGAGAGACAGAGATAATCACCCAATGTATGGTAACTAGACTGGCATATTGTTACAATTTACTGTAACTAGAGCAGGCATATATGTGACTGAGGAGACCTAGTATCAAAAGGGAAAAGCTCTCTTACTTGTCTGGCTGGTATCAAGGTCAGTGAAATGAAGGTAAATTGAAGGAAGAGAGAGAGATTCCTTTTCAACAAAACTGTCAAGCTCGGTGAAGAAGTGAAATACAGGTTTGGCAGTTTGGGGGCACAGAGCATAATTTATCTGGATTTTCTGAAAGCCTTTGATAAAGAACACCTGACAACTGCCTTTTGAAAGCCAAAGCAGAAAGATCCACTATAAAATACATCATTAAGAATGACACAAAGGAGAGGCTGAGGGGCAGAGAACAGATTCTGTCCTGCAATCAGCAGATTCATAACGCTGCTTTCTTCAGTTCCTCACACCACACCAAACAGCACACTGCGCATGCTAAAGAGGCAATGGGAGGATGAGTGGATGGGATACGGGAGAGGGCTACAGGTTACAGAAAATAAATTCCTCATTGTGGCTAAATAAGAAACATCTGCCCTCTGCTGTCTTTTCCTTCGGCAAGGATAAACATTTCTGTATGAACTTGGTTAGGGAGAGAATTAGCAAACTTTAGCATTTACTGAGCACTTACTATGTAACACTAACTTTAATACATTGATCATTAAATTTCATGAGCAATGGGAAAGCTTAGAGCTAAGGGAGTGTAGAGTCAGGAGCAGTTAAGTCTGCCTACTGGTGTTATGGGGATGTTGCAGCAACTCAATCCTGACTGTATATTGGACCCACTTGGCGAGTCTCTTGAAAACACTGCTGCCTGGGCCCCCAATCCTGGGCAATTAAATCAGAACCGTTTAGTTCAGAGGGCCTTGGTATTTCTGTAAGGCTCCCTGGGAAACTGTGATGTGCAGCCACGGTTATGATGTAGTACAATGGATGATATTTAAATGTCATCTTAAAAGAACATGGAGTTACAGGAGATGGGTTAGAAGATGCAGTTATAGGTGGAAAGGATGGTGCAAACCAAAGCAGCACCGAAGCATGGAGGTGTTGCCAACCAGGAGAGGTCTGTGTGGCTGGAAAGGGTGGGCCTGTTGGGGGAGGGGTGGAGAGTGACACGAGATAGTGCCTCCCTGAGACAATCACCACTTTAGAAGCTGCTTTGAGGGATGTACTGATCCCCTAGCAACTTCTAGGACCACTACTTCTGTATTCTTCTCTATTCTGTGAACAGAGTATATAAGACTACCACGTTTTGCCATTTGTAAAATATGTAAACCTTCACACATTGACATAATATGGAATATAATTATTCAATGGTCATATCATAAACAGAACAATGCCCTTTATATATGGTCTTTCATTATTGCTTCCAAATCTCAAATTCAGAACTCTATTGCGTTGTCTAAATCTTCTAAATTAGTTTAGAATCTTTTTGAAATAAACATATAGGGCCTCAAGGCTACAGCCCAGTGGTAGAGAGCTTGACTAGCATGAGTGAAGCCCTAGGTTCAGTCCTAAGCAGAAATAAAGGAAAGCTGAAAGGCAGAAGCAGCAATCATAGTCCCATGACTCAGAATTTTGAAACAAAGACCATCCTATCCATTATTCCAGCACAGATGCTATGTGCTCATTCTAAAGATCCCACCAATTGGAAACATGGAGATAAAACTGAAAAACCACACCAACTTTCATTAGAAGACTTATCCTCCTTGTTTTCTTTACAAGGATTGATACACTGATGTATAATAATAGTGGGTACACTACATTATTAAATTTAATTTGATGCTGGACATTGGTGGCGTATGCCTTTAATCCCAGCACTTGGGAGGCAGAGGCAGGTGGGTCTCCGAGGCCAGCCTGGACTCCAGAGCGAGTGCCAGGATAGGCTCCAAAGCCACACAGAGAAACCCTGTCTCAAAAAACAAACAAAAAAAATTAATTAATTAGACATGAATTTAATAGAGGAAAAGGATCTGAGTTAAAAACATCAAATTATGTTATTGTTGTTATTATCATTACTATTATTATTATTATTATGAGAGTTTCATGTAGCCTGTGTTGGCCTTAAACTTGCTATGAGTTATGACCTTGAACTTGGAGATACAGGCAAGTGCCTCTATGCCTAGTTTATTTGGTGCTTGAGATTGAACACAGGTTTCTGCATGCTAGGCAAGCACCAACAATTTATTAAACCTTAACAAATACTCCTCTACTCCAGAATTCCTCTGAAGTAAATTGCCTTTACCCAGTGGCAATTGTGCCCCCCCCCACCGCCCCTCTCTTCCAAGACGAGACTCTTCTGTAACAGCCTTGGCTATCCTGGAACTCTGTCTATACAGCAGAGCAGGCTGGCCTCAAATTCACAGAGATCCACCTGCCTCTTGCCTCCCAGGTGCTGGGGTTGAAGTTGTGCTCCACCACTGCCCGGAGGCAATTGGTTTTTCTTTAAGGGGAAGGACAGTAGATATTTCAGGCATGTTTTATGCAGGTTGACTGCCATAAATGAAAAGTAGCACTAACAGCATGTAAAAAATGGGGTGAAGCTGACTGCTGAGGTCTGAACATCTGTGACCCCAAAACTGAATATTAAAATGGATACTCCAAGGATGCTAAAGGGAGGTTGGACCTTTGGGAGATGACTACATCATGAGGATGGCGCCTTCGGGTACAGAGTTAGGACCCTTATGAAAATGGCCCCATAGGATGCCTTTCCTTTCCACCATGTGAGACCGCAATGACAGAGTACCTTCATTGTCAGAAAGCAGGGCCTTCACCAGGCACCAAATCTAAGAACCCTGACTTTGAACTTCCCAGTCACTACAACTATAAGAAATCTGTTTCTGTTGTTAGGAGCCATCAACTCTATGGCCTTTTGTTAGTGACTGAATGGACCCAGATACTATATTCTGATAGAAGTTTTATTCACAGGAACAGGTGGCTAACCCTCAGGCAATAGTTTGTAGACTCATGTTATACAGCTGAATAAAGCTAATTATAAAAAACTAGCCCAAGTTTTTATCATAGATAGTACAGCCTAACTTCAGAAGAAGGGGCATCAGAGTTCTTGCTGTGCCTACCTCCTTTCTTTCTCCTCTCAATTTCAGAGTATTTTTTACATTGTCTGGACGTACAACATTCACGTTCTGTTTTGATGCTACGGATGGCAGTGTATGCTATACATGTAAGTGGATCCAATGTCCGTCAACAGTCATTTTCCTGGCTCTTCTATACTAGCACTCCTTGTTTTG